TTCAAAAATCGGGTGATAAATTACAAGTAATAAATTACATAAATTTATAAGATAAATAACAATAACAATTCACAAATATCTCAATCCACCATACTCGGATTTCTGTTTATACAACTCCTCCAATCAACCATACCCACCCAACCCTTCTCTCACCGTCTCACTCTAGTAGATCCTTCAAATTATTTTTGCAGGCATCGAGAATCTTCATTGTAGGGAGTCGAATGACGGAGCTCTCGTCGACAAAAGGTATTTATGAGCCATGATTTTTTTGCCCTTGCTTGCTAAATTATTTTTCTTCTCCCTGTAGCCTGCAATATAACCGTCAATTTTGTGTGATGTATACTACTTTTTAGATTCTGCAACATGGAGAGAATTCACAATTATTGGCAGTTGGGAGACGGCAAGCAAAAGTCTCCGAGGATCACAAATGGTACAAAACATTACTATGCATTTATGCATACACGTGCAAACCATTACCCCATGCTTGTAGCAATCAAGCGTCTGGAAACCATAGAAGATGTATACCTCAGATGTATAGAGCAATCAAGAATATTTAGCATGGTAATCGTGTTTAAGAATCTAGACAACATTACCCCATAATGGTAGCAAGCCATCTTCTAACAGAGCAACCACATGAACAGCCCCACAAGAAACTTGACGAATAACCTGGAACATGAAATTAAAAAAGTAAAACGAACAACACGTGCGATGATAACTGAAAGTAGGCAAACAACAATAATCTATATAATATTCCCAACAAAATCCTCAAATTACGTTCTTTACATCAGTTCTTCTCATTTGGGCACCACCAAATTACTTTCTTTACAGTATAATCACATCAAATTGACCTAATTCACCTGCCACATGAACGATTACTTCAAAACATAAAACAAAATAACTTTTTCCATAGTTTTTTGTACAACTACACAGAATTATCGAGTTTCTGATGAAATATTAGAGATCACAGACTGGTCTGTTATTATCAAAACAATTACGGAAAGTGCTAGTTCTACTTCATTCCCTTAGATTTTCTCCCCGAGATTACAACTTTAATTTAACATTACAGTAAGATAAATCACACGGGCATTTCAAAAATTGTTGTTCCGGGTATATATGATAGCGATAAAAGGTTGTTTATGTAATTAAACAAACAAAGTTTAATTCACAGGAACGGGACTAAACTATATATACATATATGG